GCAGGGGTCCCAGGAGGGGCAGTCAGGGGACAAGGAGGCGGGGGGGGTTGGGGTTCTGGGGGGGCAATCAGGGGGTGGGGAGTGGATGGGGGTGGGGCAGGAGCAGGGCTAGAGCTGGGCTCCTCCCCCGCGTGTCCTCTTTTTTGCTTGTGGAAATATGGTAACCCTAAAGTCACATGACCCAACAAAATAAACTTGTGCTATTAAAAGAAAAAGAAAAAAAGGTAGAATTAAAAACTCCTAATTACAAATCAAAGTACAAAACCATAGCAAGTGCTATAATAGAAACACAGATGGAATTCTTAAAACCAATAACAACTACTTACTTAAAATATTTTGATGAGCATTAGCTATTAAAATAAAAAATAAACAGCACAATGACATGCATTGCATAGTGATAATACAGATAAATGACAAAGTGTTCAGAGTAATAAGAGTAATAGAAATAACATTTTTAAAGGAGCAAAATTATAATTAAAATGGATTACAAGAAGAGAGCGCAATTCAGGGAATCACATAAGCAGATAAAACAAATTTGGGAACTGTTATGAGACTTCAAGTAGACATATAGTGATAAGAGACTCTTTTAAATACTCAAAATGTGTGACACAGAGTTTGAGGGAATGTAGGTAAATTATTTCACTGCACCAAGTCTCCTGTAGCAGTAAAGTATCATCAGGGACAGCAGGGAGGGGGGTTGGCGTCAGTACTGGGTTTACAATGGTGCCAATGGAACTGTGGCACCAGGCCCACACTGGAAAGGGGCCAATTATGGACCCCTCTAACCCATAATGGGTCCCTTCCCAGTGTGTCTGGCCCCTCGCCTACTATCAGGGCCGGGGTCCTGGGGGTCTGGGTGTGGGAGAGTAGGTCTCTAGAGGGCCTGAGGGGGTGCTGGGCAGTGAGGGGGTGTGAGGTGCTCAGCAGTGGGGAAGGTTTGTGTGTTTTGGGGTGCTGGGGAATGGTGGGTTTTGGGGGGCATTGGGCAGTGGGGGGTGGGGAGATCTGTGTGTTTGGGGGCTGTGCAGTGGGGGAGATCTATGTCTGTCGGGGACCTGGGAAGCATGGGAGGTCTGTGCGAGGCACCGTGCAGTTGTGGTGGGAGGGCTGTGGGGGACACTGGGCTGTGAAGGGATCTGTGGGGGGCCTCTGGGTGGGTGGGGGTGTGCTGGGCATAGTGGCCTGTGGGAGGGCACTGGACATAGGGATTTGTGGGGATCTCTGGGTGGTGTGGCACTTGGTGTAGGGGGTAAGAGGGGAGCTGGGCGGGGGGGGTAGCATGGTGCGGCATGGGCCCACCCCCAAGGGGAAGAAGCAGAATGGCAGCAACGCAGGGCCGGGTGGGCCAGTGTGCGTCTGGCGGCTGCCAGTTAGTAAACAGTGCCCTTGTACTGGGGTAGGTGGAGCAGGACTGTTCCTGCTGTGCCATGACCCATCTCCCATTGCCTCTGACCAGCCCCTCACTCTGAACACTCTGCCCCATGTCCCCATTGCCCCCATGGGGGCCCACAAATATGTTTAGCGCCGGGTCCACAAAAGGTTAACCTGGCCCTGTTTGGGGCACAGGCTCTGGGACGGAGTTTGGGTGCAGGAGGGGTGCAGGCTATGGGGAGTTTGCATGAGGGGTGCGGGCTCTGACCTGGGGCAGGGGATTGGGGTACAGGAGCGGATGCGGACTTGTGGGCTCTGTGGCGGAATTTAGCACCTCAGCACATTATATAAGAGAAAGGAGCTGCAGTGACTTCATACAGACATAGAAACTGATAGAAGACTCTTAAATACTCCAAACATGAGAGGCAGAGTTTGAGGGAGGGAGTGTCTGTTTCCCAGCATTCAGTCTCCTGGCTGTAGCAATGACGTAGCCCTGAAGCACTTGTATAAGCTAGAGAGGAGCTGCAGTGTCTAAGCATTGACAGTCTAGGAATTGGGAGGCCTGTGCCTTTAAAAACCCAGCCCCAGGAACCCGCCCTCTGTGCCAGGGCTGACATGCAGCATCCTATATGAAGAACGAAAAAACGCTCTGCACCCTGCACACCGCTACATTTACTAGCACAGAAGGTGGCTCATCCCACGGGGTAATTGTTCCCCCACCTCCTCCTCCCTAAACTGGGGTTTTGTCCCCGCATAGGGCCTGGCAGCGTCTCCCCCTGGACTTAACCCCGGCTACCACCTCCCACCCGCAATTTTTCCCCTTCAGCTCCTTTTCTGCCGCTACCTACAGTAGCTTGATCCCCCCTGGCAGGACATTTCTGCCCCCTGCTCAGACCCTGACAGCCCCCCCACTGCGATTTGCCTCCCCGCTTAATCCTTTTAAACCCCCCCAAAGAGGAGACAGCAAATCGTAAGTAGAAGTGAAGGTTACTGGGCATGCTGAGCTCGGGTGAGCATGCTCAGTGCGGCCCGTGTGGGGTGAGTAAGCAAGTGGCAGGGTGGGGCAAGCCAACAGCTGCCTGGCCGGCCAGCGGGGTAGTGAAGAAACCAGTGGTGGGGGGGCATGTGAGCCGGCGGCGGGGGAGGCTGAGGAGGCGAGTGGGTGGTGGGGGGTAAGTAGGAGAGCCGGAGGGATGACGAGCCGAGTGAAAGGGCAGGTGAGGCGGGGAAGGGGGGCTAAGGAGGCGAGTGGGTGGGCTGTCCCTATAAAATCGTGACATCTGGTCACCCTAAGCGGGGTGAGGAATGACAAGCCTAGTGAGGGGGCGGGGGGGCGAGCGGGTGGCAGGGGGTGAGTAGGCGAGCCGGGGGGGTGGCAGGAATGACGAGCAGAGTGGGCGGCAAGTGGCAGAGGCAGGTGAGCCGGCGGCGGGGGAGCGGGCTGGAGGAGGCGAGCGGGTGGCGGGGGATGAGGAGGCGAGCCTGAGAAAGGGTGGGGGGATGACGAGGTGAGCGGGCGGGCAGTGGGGGGGGCAGCTGAGGCGGGGAGCGGGGCTGACGAGGCGAATGGTCAGCAGGGGGTGAGTAGGCGAGCCTGGGGAGGGATGTGGGGATGACAAGGCAAGCGGGCGGGCAGTGGCGCGGGGCAGGTGAGTTGGCGGCGGGGGAGGGTGACTGAAGAGGCTAGCAGGTGGCAGGGCATGAGTAGGCGAGCCTGGGGAGCGGTGGGGGGATGTTGAGCCAAGTGGGCAGTCAGTGCCGGGGGGGCAGGTGAGTCGGCGGCAGGGGAGAGGTGTTGAGGAGGCAAGCGGGTGGCGGGGGTGAGTAGACGAGCCAGGGGAGGGGTGGGGGCACTGGGCTGTGAAGGGATCTGTGGGGGGGCCTCTGGGTGGGTGGGGGTGTCCTGGGCATAGTGGTCTGTGGGAAGGCACTGGGCATAGGGATTTGTGGGGGTCTCTGGGTGGTGTGGCACTGGGTGTAGGGGGTAAGAGGGGAGCTGGGCGGGGGGGTAGCATGGTGCGGCATGGGCCCACCCCCAAGGGGAAGAAGCAGAATGGCAGCAGCGCAGGGCCGGGTGGGCCAATGTGCATCTGGTGGCTGCCAGTTAGTAAACAGTGCCCTTGTACTGAGGTGGGTGGAACAGGACTGTTCCTGCTGTGCCATGACCCCTCTCCCATTGCCTCTGACCAGCCCCTCGCTCTGAACACTCTGCCCCATGTCCCCATTGCCCCCATGGGGGCCCACAAATATGTTTAGCGCCGGGTCCGCAAAAGGTTAACCTGGCCCTGTTTGGGGCGCAGGCTCTGGGACGGAGTTTGGGTGCAGGAGGGGTGCAGGCTATGGGGAGTTTGGATGAGGGGTGCGGACTCTGACCTGGGGCAGCGGATTGGGGTACAGGAGCGGATGCGGACTTGTGGGCTCTGTGGTGGAATTTAGCACCTCAGCACATTATGTAAGAGAAAGGAGCTGCAGTGACTTCATATAGACATAGAAACTGATAGAAGACTCTTAAATACTCCAAACGTGAGAGGCAGAGTTTGAGGGAGGGAGTGTCTGTTTCCCAGCATTCAGTCTCCTGGCTGTAGCAATGACGTAGCCCTGCAGCACTTGTATAAGCTAGAGAGGAGCTGCAGTGTCTAAGCATTGACACTCTAGGAATTGGGAGGCCTGTGCCTTTAAAAACCCAGCCCCAGGAATCCGCCCTCTGTGCCAGGGCTGACATGCAGCATCCTATATGAAGAACGAAAAAAACGCTCTGCACCCTGCACACCGCTACATTTACTAGCACAGCAGGTGGCTCATCCCACGGGGTAATTGTTCCCCTGCCTCCTCCTCCCTAAACCGGGGTTTTGTCCCCGCACAGGGCCTGGCAGCATCTCCCCTCTTTACTTAACCCCAGCTACCACCTCCCACCCGTAATTTTTCCCCTTCAGCCCCTCTTCTGCCACTACCTACAGTAGCTTGATCTCCCCCTGGCAGGACATTTCTGCCCCCTGCTCAGACCCTGACAGCCCCCCCGCTGCGATTTGCCTCCCCGCTTAATCCTTTTAAACGCCTTCAAAGAGGAGACAGCAAATCGTAAGTAGAAATGAAGGTTACTGGGCATGCTGAGCTCGGGTGAGCATGCTCAGTGCGGCCCGTGTGGGGTGAGTAAGCAAGTGGCAGGGTGGGGCAAGCCAACAGCTGCCTGGCCGACCAGCGGGGTAGTGAAGAAACCAGTGGCAGGGGGGCAGTTGAGCCAGTGGTGGGGGGTGAGGAGGCGAGCCAGGAGGTGGGAGGGGGGGATGATGAGCCGAGTGTGCATCCACTGGCGCGGGGACAGGTGAGCCAGAGGCAGGGGGGCTGAGGAGACGAGCGGGTGGTGGGGGGTGAGGAGGCGAGCCAGGAGGTGGGAGGGGGGGATGATGAGCCGAGTGTGCATCCACTGGCGCGGGG